AATCTGCCGATTTCAAATATTTTTGTCTTTATCACACTCTGTTAAAATTCAGACTTAACACATTACAACTAACGCTAACATTGCACTGATTCAAACTTTTTAAACAGTAATGTTAACGTTAGTTAGCAACAAGTGAGGCTAAACATGTTTTCTGTAATGTACGACATGTAAACGCACCCTGACCAACTCAACATTGCATTGAACTGTTACTGTGATTATATTGATTAAAACATAAATTTAATATTTATTGGATTTGTAAATATTTTACTTACTGTAGTGTGAAGCGAGGCCGATCCGCCATCTTGAAAAAAACGAATGAAGCATGAGCACGTACGTGAACCTGGATGACGTCAGACGCAAAAATCACTGGGCTGACAGATTTTGAGTTAATGAAACTTTAAAGAGACATTTTGTATAAATTAAACCCAGCAGAATTGTTCACCTTACTTGAAAGATTAAATTTTTTCAAACTCAAAAATAAGAAAAAGTTCTAAATACTCATCAAGGTTAATTAAGATAAACGAATTTTAATGATTTAAGTTAATAGAACTCAATTCAATTAATTAGTTACAGCATTGGGGTTTACAGTGTAACACTCCATTTCATCATTACAAAATTAACTATTCATAATCATTTACTACACTGTCCTCATTCATTGTTTTAATTTGTGCACTGAAACAATCTTGTCTGCTTGTCGAATAGTAGTAGACTATGTCTATGCTGAATATACATCAAGTCTGGTAATGTCACAAACAGTGAACAAAAGCAATGTAAGATGCAAGTAATAAAGTTCACCAATACAATCATTCACATTTAACTTTAAAATAATATTTATAAAATTATTTATTAGATCCAATTGAACTGTAATGCCATAAACTTTGGCATTTTAGTCTTATATGTGATGGTAAAATATTTAATTTATATAATGCATTCGATAATATTAGATTGCATATTAAATATATTATTATTATTATTATATAGTTATAAACATATAGAGAAACAATGCAATTATAATATGGAGATGTTCCTGTTGATTTAGAAAAAGAGTCATATAATAATAAGAAATGAATTGTATTATTATTTGACATAATTGAGCACCGTATACTTTAGCTCAGCATAAATGAGGATACCTTACAAATCTTGCTTTTTACTAAATATTTTGTATTGGATGCTTTATAATATACATTAGATTAGTCAGTACCAAAGCCAAAACTGAAAATGATATAACAAAAATTTTAAAAGGATCACGGCCCAAAAATGTGTACACCCAAATTAACATGTTGGTGGAAATATAGTCATTATTTATTAATATTAATAATAAATAATATTTTATAGTAATAAATAAAAAATAAAATATAATTTCATATTTAAATGTATAATATTCTGATATATTTATCCAATTTACTACTCCTAATTTTATTATTATTATTATTATTATTATTATTATTATTATTATTATTATTATTATTATTATTATTATTTTAAATATGTAAACATGTAACAACATTAATCTAAATATATTTAAATATAAGTGTATATTAAAATATATTCTGGTTTGCTGAATTGACCTTTAATGCCCATGAAAAAAAAAAATACATTAGTTAAAACATACACCATATAGGGGGAAAGAAGAAAAGCATAACCCTAACCCTGACAAATCTTCTGCTTGATTGTGTGTGCGAGCACTCACCCGGGCCAATGTTGGTCATTTTAGCAGTGTCTGTAACGGGATGAGCAGAAAGGAGACTGCAGGACAGCAGGAGCACAGAGCAGAACACAAACAGCTTACAGATCATCTCTACAGCGGCTCCAGCTCCTGTCAGGTCAATCAGCTCCACAGACACTCTCTCATCTTATATACCCCACACTACCAATCATACCGAATGCCACGTTTTTATTGAACGTCTTATTTTCACATTTAGATCCCATTGCATTAATGCATCCATGAATAAATCGGGATCGCAGTGGCTTTATCACCTTTGAATCTCATTGACCTGTTTTACTGAGTTTGTAAATCGGGGAACACAGGTGTGCAAATGTCCTTCTATTAACTCCACGACGCATAAAAGTCTATTTTATGAACGTGTCAGCTGTCTTTTATGTAGGCCTTTTATACTGAAAAAGATGGAAGTATATTTCACAACTGATGCATAGGTAAAGAGGTTTTACTGGGGATTCTGGCTGCAACACTGATCCTGTCAACATTATATCAATTGGGGTGATAAAAGTGGAGAGCATCAGGAATATAAACTTGAGATTCAACACATTTGAATCAGCAACACATTTGTTTATCATCCATTGGTGAAGTCATATTAGCAATGCACATTTGACATTTATAAAAGCTTGGAGTGAAATCAGACAGAGCAGACGCATTATACTGTGCGTCACTCAGTTTTACTGCACTTGTTGATCTATATATGAAAGATTGATCCCATGAGGCGTTTATTTGCATGTATTGCTCCCAGCATTAAACAGTTTAAAAAAGAAAATAACAATTTGCAATGCTAGGCTGTTCAATATCAGATATTATCCCCCAATATTCAGAAAAGAAGCTGATCAATTTATGTTCTTGAATTACGTTATTAATTAAAAACAAAAAAAACTGATGACGCTGAAAAAATGCTGGGTTGTTAAATGACACACTCTAAAAAACAGTGAATAGCACTCCTACATTCACAGTGTAGTCCACCAGCTTAAATGGCACACTCCAAAAATGCTGGGTTGTTGTACTCTGACATTAGGGTAAATATGGACAAACCCAATGTTGGTTTACAGCAACACAACATTTTTTAGAGTGTGTCATTTAGTCTGGTGCAATACACCGTACATGTAGAACACATGGAAGTGTGAACCTTGCCTAAGATAAAGCAAAAAGATGATCTGGAATATTTGCCACAATCATTGATTAATCGTCTATGGTGATTTAATCTTATTGCTATATTTTTTTGTTGGACTGGATAAATGTGCACATGGTGAAAAGATGATTATTTTATGGTTACATTTTATGATTTTTATGTTTTTTTTATGGACAAAAACAAACAAACTATTACAATATATAATATAATATAACTTAATGTATAATATGTGGTGGAGCAGGCCGATGCAGTGGCGCAGTAGGTAGTGCTGTCGCCTAACAGCAAAAAGGTCGCTGGGTCGATCCTCGGCTCAGTTGGCGTTTCTGTGTGAAGTTTGCATGTTCTCCCTGCGTCGCGTGGGTTTCCTCCAGGTGCTCCGGTTTCCCACACAGTCCAAAGACATGCGGTACAGGTGAATTGGGTAGGCTAAATTGTCCGTAGTGTATGAGTGTGTGTGTAATGTTTCCTAGAGATGGGTTGCGGCTGGAAGAGCGTAAAAACTTGCTGGATAAATGCGTAAAAACTTAATGGATAAGTTGGCAAATCATTCCGCTGTGGCGACCCTGGATTAATAAAGGGACTAAGCCGACAAGAAAATGAATGTGGGGGAGCAGTGGGTAACACTGTTGTCTCACAGCAAGAAAGTCTCTGGTTTGAGCCTCGGCTGGGTCAGTTAGCATTTTTGTGTGGAGTTTGCATGTTCTCCCATGTTCACATAGGTTTCATCTGGGTGTTCCACTTGTAAGGGTGTTTCCCAGGGATGGGTTGTAGCTGGAAGGGCATCTGCTGTGTAAAACATAAGCTGAATAAGCTGGTGGTTCATTGCGCTGTGGCGACCCCAGATTAGTTAAGGGACGAAGCTGAAATGAAAATGAATGAATAATATAATATAATATAATATAATATAATATAATATAATATAATATAATATAATATAATATAATATAATATAATATAATATATTGTTCACAGCATTTAAGAAAATGTGCATTAAGTCCCACCTAATTATGTTTCAAGGTTTTTAAAATTTTTTATAAATTAATGTAATGGTGTATAATGATGGAAAATATAATTGAAAAAATATATAGCTTATTTATTAAAATAATTGTCATGGCCATTTCAATAAAGAGACTCTTGCTGATCAAAAGACAAGGTTTAATTCCAAAAAGGTTTTATTCTTTGCAAAGAATAGGTCCGACAGTCATACAGGAACACCGGTTGCTGCAGAGTGCACATAGGCTAACCAGCAGGTTTTATCTTCTTTCCCCTTCTTCAAGGCACACTGTCACAGATGACACCCAGTTCTGCTTAGAGCGTTCCTCTTCTGAGGATCAGGACATGGCTCCCAGGATTTGTGTTTATTGAATGCATATTTTAAAAAACAGATGACCCCCTTCTGAATGACCCTTCTTGTAATATGTTTTTGTACCATCTTTTCTTAGGAAGGCATATGTTTTCTAATATTTGGTGTTTCTAGTAAGAATGAGACGTTTTTTTAGAAATCAATGTTTTAGTAATAGTTAAAATGAATTTTTCCACCACATGATGGTAACTTATTTATTGTAAATATTTATCACCGTAGTCAATGTTCTATAAAGTACATTTTTTTTTATTTTTTATAATAATTTAATAATTATAAGGGGGGCCTGGTGGCACAATGGGTAGCCCTGTCGCCTCACAGCAAGAAGGTTGGTGGTTCAAGCCTCAACTGGGTCAGGTGGCATTTTTATGTGGAGTTTGCATGGTTTCCCCGTGTTTCCGGTTTCCCCCAAAAGTACAAAGACATGCTATAGGTGAATTGGGTAAGCTAAATTGTCTGTAGTGTATGTGAGTGAATGGGAGTGTATGGGTGTTTCCCAGTGATGGGTTGCAGCTGGAAGGGCATACGCTGTGCAAAACCTATCCTGGATAAGTCCCCGGTTCATTCCGCGTGGACAAATCTGAAAAGAAATTTAATGAATTGTTTATGTATTTAATGAATAATTAAATGAAAAAATACAATAAATGAACATGTTTATGAACATAAGCAGCAAGTAATGTCTTTAATGTTTGGTATGATTGGGTGAGCCGGTGCGATGATGTCATGGGCGTGCTGGTGGAGGGAGGGAGCAGAAGTTTGTCCGCTCAGGCTTACCATCCCTGTGGAAGTTTCATGCCATTGTTTCGTTGTCTTTCTGGTCGGAAACTTTGAAACTACGTAATTATAGTTCGCGTTTGGTTCAGAGACACTGCCAAATTCAGCTATGAGCTTATGAGAAGTGAGGCTTTTTGGTCGAGTAGCCCTAGTATGCAACATGTAGTTGAAGATACAAAGCGCATTTGTAGAGAAGAAAAGAGCTCAGAGACCAGGTAAGAGGCTGTTTGTGTCGCTGTGAATTATGTTTTCGGTGTCTGACGTTTGTTGGATGAATCATCGTGGTTAAAAAAACACGTGAGGAATGTGGAAACTGATCTAACGTTAACCACACAGTCCTCATTCATTTCACTTCTGCTGGTTTGTTTTTGTCGAGTTGTAGTTTCGTTATGTGTAGTTACAGAGCCGCATGCTACCTCGTCATGTTTTGTCTTCATATAGTGTTTGTTCATGATTTGTGTAAATGCATTATTGCAAAAGGTTTCATTCTACGATTAAGTAGCATATATACGTGTTTGTTTTCCTTTATTTGCTTTACGTGTTTTGTACTTTACACGTGGCTCAATAGAATGGATTAACTTTTTATTTAAAAGAAACGCTGTAAATGTTATATCTTTAATTCTTATTCAACACCTTGTTCAGAATGTGTTTTTAATTCTTGTTAGTTTTATATCTGTTGTAAATAATAACATTTTAAGTAATAATAAATCATGTTACTTTTGTAATTAAAAAATGTAGGCAATAAATTAGTGCAGGATCAACTTTGCATTGTAGTTTTCAAATTAGTTTAGATAAAAAAAGATTGTTAATCTTTGTTTGACGGTTAATCATCATCATAACACGCTCATTTAGCAATATACAATACAGAAACGCACATAAAATGATCATTTGCAATTCAAATGCAGTTGTTAAGGTAAGTGCCGAGCAAACTTTTTTCCCCCTGTGGATTTATTGAGGTAAAAGTTGGTTTAAAATTTGCACATTCTGACTTTCTCCTTAATAATAAAACTTCACAAAATATTCTTTGCCACTGTTGTACTTTGATAGTCATTTGCACCTTATATAATTCCCCTGTTTAGAATTTGCAAATAATACTTTCTGAAGGGAAATTATTAAGAAGATAAACTGTGCGAATATAAAACCAACTTTACCTCAGTATCTATTAAGACATGTGAAGTGATTAAATAAACTACTTTGCTTTTGTGAGGGACTAAAATCTTTCTTTCGTGAATCTAGGTGTTGCTGAATGCCATGAGCTGTTGAGCAGTGATGGCAGAGCTGGAGGTGGATCAATCCAACCTGCCCAGAGTCCAGGAGGGTAAGAGAAAGTTACTCATGCACATGTCTGTGTGCGTTTGACACTGCAAACAAACATTCAGGGGTGCCCAAACTTTTTCATCTAAAGGGCCAAAAACCAATCTTGATAGAGGCTAGTGGGCTGAAAGTAAATAAAGTTGCCATGGGTAATTTCCTAATTTATTTTCATAGATGTATACATACACTAGCTATCACACATGGACCCTAAGCATGCGTCAATAGCGCTGCCACATTGGTACAGTGCTCCCAGGACAAAAGTCATTCAACCGCACTAGTCTAGACTAAAGCCAATCTGAAGACTTAAGCGCTGTGTGCGGGTGTAGTAATGAGCAAACAAAGCACAAACATAGAACATTTCATAGGTAAGATTTCGTTGTTGTTTTTTTACATTTTTGTATATTGTGAACTTTTGTGCTAATCAAGTAACATTACTGATGACAATAGTCTCTTACTGCATTGAACATAAGGCAAAGTAGCAACAATTTGCACTAAATTCAAGGCTTATACTAGTTTTGTTAAATAAAATAAGCAAACAATGTAAATGAAATATGACAATTAGATGCTGCGGTGCTAGAAACTTGTATTATTGTTGATTAAGTAAAGGAGTCGTTCATAACGAAGATTCATTCACAAACTAATCACTACCTCCGTTAGAATGAGTAGTGAAAGCAGGAAGAGGGGGTGTGTTTCAGAACACAGATTAGATCAAAATAGGTAGGATAATACAGTTCCATTCACACAAACACATGCTCTTTGTCAGCAATGCCTGTGCGGTCACTTATCCATCGATTTAGAAAAGTGATGTAAAATTATAATTTTCGTAATTTAAGAAAATATTTGCATACTGACCACTGGGAAAATTCCAGATCGTAGATGTATGTATGTGTATATCTCTGGCTCTGGATGGCCACAGTCCTCCACTGCACCTTGGGCCCGCATTCATTTCAAAGGAGAGCTGCCCTGTACTAAAATGGCAGCTATATTGACGCATTTCTTCCAATAGACAACAACAGGGTAGACGACATCTAATGTAAATATCTATGATTTATTTAATAAGGTTTAAAAATAACTAGAAAACATTGCTTCACATTAACTAATGCAGTATTTATTTTACATTTTATGACAAACTTACAACAGTAAAAACAAAACAATCTAATTTATGACAGAATTTCAATCGTTTTTGCCTTGTTTTGCTCTTCTGCGTAGTCCTTTATCCGTAGAGTGACAGTATTTACATTTTAAAAAATGAGATTAATTTGCAATATTTAATTGAAGCATTTAATTTCAGTTTCCTTTTTTGTAGCTCAGCAATAGAACAAACAAAAATGGTTACATCAAAATAGAAATGATGATCTCTGTACAAAAGGAATTCACCCCAACCCTCTCCATCATTCTCACTTTTCTCTCAGACGGGGTGGTGGGTCAAATCAAAGGTTACGATGGGCCAACTTTGGCCCGTGGGCCCTACTGTGGGCATCGCTGTTCTACATGATACATATCCATGGCTTGATTGTTGATGCCGTGTGATAGGCAGAGATAGACTAGTCATATTTCATGTTCTGCATGTTTTTGCATCTGACATCTGATTATCATTCCAGACATCTGCTGTATCTCTCTGAAGTCTTTTTTTTTTCCATTGGAGAAAGAAAGAACCTTTCCATATGGCTTTGTTTGCTCATATTTTGTCTCTTTGGTTCGAGTCCTACATAAAGGAGCTTGACCCAGTGTTTCTTTTGAAGGGGGAAATGTTGGTGATGATTTCCCTTTCCGTTCCCATTCTGTACACAATGAGTTCATTGTTTTGCTTTTGTATCTTTATGCTTAAACAAGCTCTAGATGTTGAACAAAGACCCTATTGGACCACCATACTGCCTGCCTGTATCACCCAATTAACTAATGCCTGTGTTTTTATATACGTGTGTTTTACTGTTCCCATCGGGCTTATACCCTTTTAACATGGCCTGTGAGCAACAGTGTTTTCATTTCCTCAGTTTGTTTTTGGTACTGGTTCCCCAAAGCATTGAGAAATAAATATATGTTAGCGAGCCGTCTTTGTCTTCACTCGTCTGTTATCGGTTCCTGTGGATGTGTTTTTGCTCTTGGTTTAGTCTTGGGAACACTGTCTCTAAATCGCAGATCCCTTGAGGAAAAGCAGCCTCTTTCCTCTCTGCACTTTAACCCCTTTGCATTGCTTCTGTTTTCACTGACCCTTTTTCCTCTCGGTGCTGTGAAACCTTTGCCCAGGCAGATATTTATATATGTCTGGTTGTTGCACACTTTGTTTATGCTACCATTCAAATGGCTGGTGTTGGCTTTATTTTCTTTGAAAATATTTTCAAAAGGAACATTAAATTAGTTAATAGTGGCAGTAGAAGTTTTACTAAAATGTCTATTTCAAATAAATGCTACTTAAAAAAAAAAAAAAAAAAAATTTTCCACAAAAAAAATAATAAATTTGCTGCAAAAATTATAATCTGTAATAAGAAATGATTCTTGAGCATCAACAATAAAGAAAATTTAACTTCACGTGAATAAATAAAACAAAAAAATTGTATTAAAAAAAATACATTTGTATTATTACAGTACCGTTTATTTTGTTTATTTTAATTAATTAAAATGTTGATTTTATCACAATTTAATTTTTAAAACATTGTTTACATTTTATTGCTGTATTTTTCCTGGATGTTTAGCATCTTTGTGTTTATATAACTTGTGTATTATTGTTTTTTGACATGCAGAATTAGATTCTGACGTGGCAATAAAAACAGCATTTTTTTAATTGTATTTCAAGTAGCATATACCATATCAAGTCTTTGACATTTTTGTACGTGTTTTGATCAATTAATTAATCAATCATTCATTTATAGAGCACTGTAAAATCATACCTAAAACACAATTAAAACACAAGCAATAGATGTAAATAATGTAGCATCATTCCAGTTTCTACTAAAACATTTCATCCCACTGTCTGTCTCAATCTCTGTTTTTCCTGCTGCAACCAATGGCACTTTATCTTATCTTTTAAGTGAGTGAGTGGCCTTCAAGAGATCTTGTTTTCACAAAATGCATTCAAACACACGTTTTGCCTGCCTTTTGTAATATGAGCGTGTTTTTGGCGTGGCTTGTGCAAAACTAGTTAGACAACTTTCTATCCACTCCCTCAGTTCCATCAACGCTTCAGCCAGACACCTGAATGTTTAAACGCAGCACTACCAGAACTGGGCCAGTAGCTTCAAACCCCTCCTCCTAAAATGAAATATGTAGTGCAGGTTAGCAGGTGCTTAAGCTGTCCAGAAGAGTCCCTTTTAAAGTGACATTTAACACAGGTGCGCTCCCTCTACCTCCTGGCTAGACTAAAATGGATGAGACATTCAGCGAGTGAATCTGTAAGTGTGTGTGTATGTGTGTGTATGTTTTTTTGACGGTGCAAGGTTGTTAGCAGTTCTGGTGTATCTCTGCTATTGATAAAGACGAGGTGAAATCCCTAGCATTGGCAAGATTATAACAGTAGGTGGGAACTTGTGTCAGCGCCCGAACAGTCTTATCAGCTTGGGTGTAGTGAAGGACACATTAGTGTTTAGAGAGAAGAGCAATGTGTTTTCCTGGTATAATCCAGCTGTCAGTAGCATATTCTGTTGTTCTAGTGTTATCAGGATTGTGTTGGCTGAGAGAATCAAGCCTGATGTTTTCAATTATTAGCTGTAGGCGTATGGGCTTGGCTAGCATGCTAGGATAGGCTACACACGTCTTGCGCTTCTTTGGAGCGGTAGTTATAATTATTATTTGGATACTGAAAATTGATAGCCCACTATTGCATATTTAATTTTTTTAATTTTAATTTCGTAAATGACTAGATGACTAGAGGCTTGATCCTAATTAAATTGTTTGGAGTAGGATATGAATAATGTTGTTCTTGGCTAGCATGTTTGCTTAGGCTGCACGTGTCTTGTATTTCCTTAGAATGGTAGTTATGATTATTATGGAGATTGATTATTTGATAATTTAGCAGATAGTCCTGTTTTGGTAGTTATATTTAATTTAATTTGAGTTTGGAAAACAGTGACTAGATTTGAGCTTAATCCAAACTAAATTGATTGGACTGTGATGTGTAATCTTAAAATAATCTGTAAAATATAGTATAATATAAATGCTTGGAGGATGTTTAAAATATTTTGTTTCTAAAATGTTTACAGATGACAACTTTATCAGAACAATACTCTTACATACAGATCTGCAAAAATGACTTAAATGCTGTTGATTACCAGTGGTTAGCGATGTTAGTTGGTACACTGGGATTTTTAAGTTTAAGATCTTCAAATGTTCAGAAACACTGTTGTGAAGTGTGCATTTCGAGTTCCCAAAATTTTGCCAACTGCCAAGACCCATGCAAGGTTTAATGGTTTCTTTGAAATCGTGTTCAAATACCATAATTGCTTCTTCATGCATTTTGTAAATTTGATGCTGATGTAAAAATATGTTTTTTGTGTGTGATTTTACAACATTCAGAATATGCAATTAGTTTTTTTTTTTTTTTTTTCAGTTGCTGACGTTCAGATCTTACTTGCATCCTTTTCAATGCCTTAAAGCATGCGCGCGCGCACACACACACAAACACATATATGGTTGAAGTCAAAATTATCAGCCCTCTTGTGAATTATTTTATATATTTTTCAACTATTTCCTAAATGAAGTTTAACAGAGCAAGAAATCTTTCATAGTAATTTCTATATTTTTTTTTCTTTTAGAGAAAGTCCTACTTTTTTGTCAGATAGAATAAAAGCAGTTTTAATTATTTATTTATCGTTTTACAATATAACAATTAACACAATTAACGAAAGGAATATTTAACATTAAAAAGCATCAGAGTATACAAATCTAAAAACATACATAATCAAATTCAGTAAAGCAGAAATCAAATAACAGCAAATAAGTGGTCAGTGTGATAACAATGGGTATTATCTACACTGAAATTATTTAAGTTAAGTGGTTGTAAACTATTTATTTGGGCTAAATTTAAACAAATTAAGTTGAACGTTACTAAATTTAATTTGTTTGTTCAAATGCATCCATTTTGCAGACATTTTTTCAGTGTAGGCACAGCTCAAAGGGTTTATAAATGGTCCAACATATTCCAGGTTTTTAAAAATACGTGTGTTTTGTTATTTAAACTATATATTAAACATTTCAAATGCAGCGTGTCTATTAAAATATTTTTGAATTATTTAAATGGAGGGTTTTACACAATACATTTACTAGATACATAAGAACTCAGACTTATCCTTTTGGTAGATCTATGGTCTGATACTTCAAGTCTGGCTCAAAAAGATATATTAAAGGAATCTTGTAATATCTCTTTCCCAGGATTATTACAGAAAACATTACTACAGTATCCCAAAACTGATTTAGCTTTTAATAAAATCCATTTTTAATGTTTACAAAAACATTAAGTTCAATATTTTTGCCTCCTTAAGCAATTTATTTTTTAATTGTCTATAGAACAAACCATTATACACGTATTTGACTAATTACCCTATCTTGCCTAATTAACCTAATTAACCTAGATAAGCTTTTAAATTGCACTTTAAGCTAAATATTATGTTGAAAAATGTCGAGTAAAATATTGTGTACTGTCATCATGGCAAATATAAAAGGAGTCAGTTATTAGAAACTAGTTATTAAAACTTATGTTTAGAAATGTTGTGAAAAAAATCTTTCCATTAAACAGAAATTTGGGGAAAAATATACAGGGGGCTAATAATTCAGGAGGGCTGATAATTCTGACTTTCACTATATATATACAAAAATGACTTATAATTATATACACACACAAACACTGCAACTGTTGATATTAGAGTTCTTGTCATCCCCTATCCCCAGGCATAGAGTATGTTGGCTGCTGAACAAAACAAACCAGCTACTGGGTCTGCAGAGCCTCCGGACGTCTCAAATGAGGACAAAGAAACTGACCATTACTGTATGTTCTTTCCTTATCTGTACACTTTCCTTCTGCCTCTCCAAAGTAAACAGCACAATCTCACTATCCTCCTGCACAGCTTAACATCTTTTTTTCTGCTGCTGGCACATCTGGAAAGCATTCCTCTTGAGTGCAGGCGTATGCATGTGTGAGTGCGTGTGTGTGCTCGGGTCAGTGTGGAAGTGTGAGGGCATTGTTGGGAGGTGCTTGTGTAACCTGATATGGGTTATCGCAACCTGCAGCAGGTGGGATCAAGCAGGAAATACATTTGTCTTGTTGAAACAGTGGCATTTATATTTGGAATACCCCGAAGAATGATTATTTCTCTCTGCTAGCACTTTTTGGGGGTGAGTAGTTTGCCCCTACCAGACGGAACGGTTAAGGCTCGCAGCTAAACATAGATTTCCACCAGCTGCTCAGGGTCAGGGGTTGTGCTGAAGTCAGTATGTCTCCATTAGGATATTATGGTCCAGCCACTCTAATTCAGTATAATTGCTCAGCCCATCCTGAAGTAAAGCAGATGTGCTTTCATTTTAGTGTTTCAGTCTTGCTAAGTATGAATCCAGGAGTTGCAGTGATGAGGCGGCTCTTGATTTAGGAAAGCACTCACTTTTACTGCTCTCATAGTCTGTAATGTTCTCGGTCCTGACCAGCAGTAAAGCCTCAGTCTCCAGCTGTTGTGTCAATTACAGACTACATACTCGTTGCAACTCCCTGTATAGCTGAATTTGAGGTTGCTTCTGACTATATTTGAAACTGGTGTGCACTGTTTGCAGATTTCCTGCTGGGCGGTGCAGTTGGTTTTTTGGATTTGCCATCATCTTCTCTATGGGATCCATATTTGTTGTGCGGTAACACTAGTGACAATGGCAGTCAACACAAATTGATATAAATAGTTTTGTTATCAATAGTGCTGCAAGATATTGGAAAAATCTATCATTGCGATATTTATTTATTTTGCGACATATATTGCAATATGAATACAATATCATCAGATAACTTAAAATCTTTATTTGGAAAGAATTTACAATGTTTGGGATTGATTGGGATGATTCTGCAGTGGGACTGCATCTCCATAAAATCTAATAATATAACAATTTATAAACCTTTTGGGGTCCCCTGACACATTTTCGATGTGGTCTGTGCTATTTGTAGAGCATTTCTGTGTTTGCATGTGTTGTATTTTCATGCATACCAATCCATAAACCCAGTCAAGAAAATGATACAATTGAAAAAGGTTTTTTGGAGTCTTAACATACTGTTCAAGTATAGTAACTGAATGATAAGAATGAAAATAATTCAATAAAGTTAATTGTTGTTAGTCACAAATGGTACAATTTCTTATGCCTGGATGCTTTTACAAACTCAGCATTGCATGTCCTGCGATGCATTGTGATAGTATTAGTGATGCTAAAGCAGTATATTTTGCAGCCCTAGTTTTCATCCACCTGTTTTATGTGCATTTGAGGATATAACAGAAAACGTTGGGTATAAAACAAAAGATTTACTTAAATTGTAAAAATTTCATTTTCAATTTATTACTAAAGCTTGATGAAATGCAACTAGTGTTGTGTGCCGAACAAAACAGATAGTAATTTAAAACATGATCAAAACATAAAGCACACACATAAAAGGGAGCTTTAAAAATCGTGGAAGTTAGCCAGATGAAATAGAAATGTTTTCAGTCTAGATTTAAAAATAGTGTTAGAGCAGTTATTATTTCCACAGGAAGGCTGTTCCATATTTTTGGAGCAGCTATGGCAAAGGCTCTATTCTACCCTCCATTTTGCTCTGTAAACCACGAAGAGCCCTAAATTGGCTGACCTAAGAGCTTTTGAAGGTTGATGTTTTATCAGCAAGTCAGAGAGATTTTCATTTTTTTTCGGCTTTGTCCCTTTTAATGAGGGGTTGCCACAGCGGAATGAACTGCCAAATTAATCAGCATATGTTTTACGCAGCATATGCCCTTCTAGCTGCAACCCAGTTATGGGAAGCGCTCATACTCTCTCATACGCACATACACTACTGCCAGTTGGTTTATTCAATTCACCTATAGCGATGCTTTTAGATTGTTTGTATGTCATTTGTTAAGGATATGTTCTGGGTAAAATAATGTTAAGCTTATTTGATTGCTTCAGCTAGGGCTGCACAATGTATCATTTCAGCATCAATATTGCAATGTGCTCATTCGCAATAGTCACATCACGAGCAAATGCAACATTAAGTCTGGTTTACAATTTATCAATTAGCAAGTATTTTTAAGACCATGTGAGGGTTTTAAAAGCATTCTGGCATAAGAAATTGTACTTTTTAAAACTTTAACAAATAGATAACAATTGAATTGTTTCTAAAATAGTTTCTGCAGTATTATTTTACATGTGATGAGTAAATTTCTGAATACCTAAATACAGTTTGAATCATCAGAAAAAAAAAACAAGCGCTGTTTATTTAGTTGATATCTTATTCTTATGTACATTTATTTTTTTTTTTTTTTTATAAATTTGCAACAACTTAAAAAAACTCTCTTTTCCCATTGTCATTATGGGATGTTGTGTGTAGAAATTTGAGAAAATAAATAATTTAATCCATTCTGGAATAAGGCTGTTACATTAAAATAATGTGGAAAAAGTGAAGCGCTATGAATAGTTTCCAGATGCACTGTATATCGCAGAATAAAAAAAAAATATTGCAGTGTTTTTCTAATATCATGCATCAGCAATATTGCACTGTTTTTGTTAGTCTGTCTTGTTTTGTTTTTATCACATCAGCACCTTATATCAATATACAATGCAATACTTTCTCCATTCGCATTTGTACACAGCATCTTATAACCTGTATATTTATAACAAATCTGAACATACAACTCAACATCCAGATTTCTTGACTTAATGCATCTCTGTTTAATGTTTATCGTCTTTTTTTCATATTTATTTTGTGTTGTCTCTTGTCACTTTATGTACACTGGAAGCTTCTGTAGCCAAAACAAATTCCTTGTGTGTGTGAAGCACACTTGGCAATAAAACTGATTCTGATTCTGATACTACACTATTACTCCTAGCATCAGCAATATTACTAGAAAACAATAGTTCTTCATCCATCTAAAACGGCAGTCTTACCACTTCAAGGACAACTTGGGAAAATTTAGTACATTTACGGAGACAAAAAATGCAGTTTTCATATTTCTGCTTTTAAACCAATGAAAAACTTTACCCCCTTGACATTCTAAAATGTTGTTTGGTTTTATAACTTAACTTGGAGACAAATTATTGTCAAAACAGATTCCTTTTAAGATTCTTTTTCAACACAAGCTTTCATGGGATGTGTAGGACTTAAACGCGGTGTTTAAAGTGAAATGTGAAACTTACAGGGCCAAAACCACAAGTGTAAATTTGTTTTGAACTTTCCAGGGTCAGTTTTTGTCATGCAGACTATTATTATGGCTTCATAAAATTTGAGAGTCTTGTTTTTAAAATTGGTAAAACTTTAAGATGCAACTTACTTTATTTGTTATGAAATATGAGACACGAATATAGTTGTTTAAACATTTTTTAATGAAGCTTTAAATTGCTTTTTTTTTTAATTGACCACTTAAAGCATGAAATAACAAGGCTCAAATGTCTGCATTGTCTCCAGAAATAGCTTTGAATGTGTATTATTTCTAGTTAAAATAGTGTACATACTTAACTTCTACTCTCTGAATTGATCCTTAAGACAACTGATGAAAGTTCAGAAGCTTATCCTGTAGCCTGAAGTTTTGGCCAGTTGTATTGACTGCTGTTTCTCTACAGTGTGCCAGTGTTTTGCTGTACTGGAGGATGGAGCTTTAGCTCATAATCTGCAAGAGCAGGAAAGTAAGTGCCTTTTCCCCTTTTTTTTCTTGTGCCACACCTAAAGCAGTGTTAACACAAGCTTAAAATGTGTTTTCTCTGCCTTGACATATTCAACCATCTTTTTTGTACATTTCCAAAGGGTGCTGGTATTCACACATTTAGAAATACAAGAGCATGTCAGTACAAAAATAAACTCAAGATCTCAAATCTGAGTCTGTAAAATTGAAATATCCTGAAAGATCTGAGTAGGTAGCTGTATAGAGAACAGAGATTGCCAAATTAATATTTGAGTTATGTTGGGCACACACCACAAGATAAGCAGGCTGATTTTAATTTCCTATTTATGTTATTGTTCAAATGACCTTATCAGATTTTTTAAGGCATGAGGTGTGTTAAAAGTGGCTTGGAAGTATGTTGGAGGTGTTCCAATCATTCATTCATTCATTCATTCGTTCATTTTCCTTTGGCTTATTCCCTTTATTCATCAGGGATCACCACAGCGGAATGAACCATCAAATTATCCAGCATATGTTTTACACAGCGGATGTCTTTCCAGCTGCACTAGGTACTAGGAAGCATCCATACACATTCGTTTACACTCATACACTATAGCCAATTCATTTATACCTCATGTCTTTGGAAACCCAAGTCAACATAAAGAGAACATGCAAACTCTACACAGAAATGCTAACTGATCCAGCCGGGGCTTGAACCATTGACCTTCTTGCTTATTGTTTAATATTTATGATTCATGATTGTTGAATATTTAAGATTTATCATTAGAGCATCTCTGATATTCTTCTGAGGAAATTAAGGAATCCTGAAGTGTAAGGGAAACCCTTAGAACAAACTGGATAAACTGGAGATTTTCACAGGAAACAAACTGTTTAGTTATTTATCAAATACAGCTGCTCAAAATTAAATGGATACGGACAGCAGAAATGAAGGATCAGCTTGTCCAATTGTGGCTACAGCCCGAATGTTAGTTTATTTATTCACCTATTTGTTTGGTAAGTTTATTCTCAATTCTTGAGTGATTTTGCAAAATGTCCTGTGTTTATATGTGGTACAATTTTGGTCTGTTCTGCCTTTGTTACATTGTGGCATATCACACACTATAGAAGCAAAATGGTGAAATCTAGGATTTTTTTTTTGTCCTCTTGTTGGTGCTCTCTAGCGTTTTGATCTTTATAAACTGTAATATATATATATATATATATATATATATATATATATATATATATATATATATATATACACACACACACATACACACACACTAACACGTATACAAAACTAATGTTTACAGTGGGCTTTTTAGTGTTTTTTTATTCTATTTCTAAGCACTTTTCTTTTATTGACAACAGATTCATGTTTTCTAGTCAACTGAAACTTAATTTGCTATCACTTTAAACCAAATTAAACTCATACTTGTTGACAAAATGTTAAACTTTTTTTATGTATATAAAATATTTGATGTAATTTATAACAATTCCAACAACAATTCCAAAACTAACACTTGTGCTAGTCTTTTTTGCTTTCCGGTGTTCCTTTGAAACCCTTCTTTTGTTGAAAATTGATTGATATTTTCTAGTATTATGAAAAACTGCATAAAAAATATACAGTTGAAGTCAGAATTATTAGCACTTTGGTGCGTTTTGCACTCACACTACAAACGTACCGTGCCAAAGCCCAAGTGAACCGCTCTCAGGCCCAGGGCCTGGGCCGGCCAAGTGAACCGTGCTTGAGAAAAGATTAAATAAATCAGTTATTAGAAATGAGTTATTAAAACTATTATGTTTAGAAATGTATTGAAGAAATCTTCTCTCTGTTGAATGGAAAAAATAAACAGGGGGACTAATAATTCAGGAGGGCTAATAGTTCTGACTTCAACTGTATACCCTTTACTGTCACTTTTGACCTAATGTAATTCATCCTTGTCATTCTCATCACACATTTTAAACAGTAGCATTTTTTCCCCATCTGCTTTACGATAACTTCTCATGTTGTGTCCTCCACCAGTCGAGCAGTACTACAGCTCAAATGTGGAGAGGAGTCAGCTGGTGCAGAGGGACATCAGAGTAGCCAAGAGACTGCAGGATGAGGAGCAGCAGAGAGTGCAGACGCCACAGCATCAGACCACTCGTCAGCTGTAAGATAGCAAACACACCGTCTATCAGAGCACACCATATAAGATATGACAGTTTACTCAATATACTTATATAATATACCTATATACTTTATATGACCATTCAGGAGCTGATAGCATGTCCAGAGTCCACCAGTTTCCCATGTGTGTGATAGTCCATGCATTTCCTTGTTACATTAAAGGGATAGGTCAACCAAAAAAGAAAGAAAATATACTCGCCCTCAAGTGCTTCCATACCTTTAAGGTCTTATTCTTTTGAACATCAAAGATATTGTGAGGAATTTTGTAGACTTTGACATGCTTAATAATAAAAAAAGTATTAAATTTAATGACTATTGATTGACAACATTCTTCAAAATATCTTATTTTGTATTTGACAGAAGAAAGACACTCAAACAGGTTTGAGATAAGGGAAGGTTGGACTTAAACCATATCACAATATTTTCTGGTGTTATTGCAATATTAATGACAACATAATTCATATTTAATTACCCAAAAACAGAAATGCTCTGTATTTTTAGAGATAAGTGTTCGTTTGTTGTCATTTGTATATTTTAAAATGTTTGGTCAATTTTTATTTATACGATTTATTATGTTTATATTGCCTACTACTGCATTCCAATAGAGCTCAACCATAATCAAACACACTGAAACAGCTAATCTAGCTTTTCAGAATCATATATAATAAACCAGCAGACGTGCTAAAGTATGTTAAAAAATAAACTTTGTTCCCTGGCACCCACTGTCCTGCAGAGGTTTTTATTTATTTATTTATTTATTTATTTATTATTCATGAATAAAAATATACAACTGCAATCAGGAGATCAATATAAGAGGAGGACTATACAAGTTACGATAACTGCAAAGAGAAAAGAGACTAACAAAACAAAGGAAGGGGTAAGTTAATTACAATAGTATAAAAGTGTATGAAAATAAAAAAAATTAAGAGGATTACAGGACATTTAACTAAATCAAGTCAGTCAATAGACAATAGCTCTTCATATAGAACAAAATATCTGACACATTTTTTGTTCTTCCACATACAGAAAGATTTGAATATCTAGAAATTGTTGAAAAGTTGGAATTAAAGCCATGCATTTTTCTTTGTTTAAAAAATGTCCAAACAAAGTAAAAAAGGTGAAAAGAAAATATTGAGATTTATGTGCAGATTCTGAGTAATAAAAAAAATTAAACTAAAAGAATGCGAAAAGGTAGAAGGGGTGTTTAAATAAAGATACAATTCGAACCAAAACTTCTTTACAAGTTCTCACACACACCAAATAAATGTATTCTCACTCTTCTGCAGAGGTGAAGATCTCTGAAACAGTGTTGTGATCACACACTGTAACGTTATTTCTGTTCCTTTCATACTGGACGCTAGAGGGCGCCATCATGCATAAAGTACATATAGATTTTGCTGAGCAAAGAGGTTAAGGCTTAAAGAAACTGAAAAATACATCAAATTTAAAAAAAATAAAATAAACAAATGCTTGTGGGATTATCAAAACTATTACTTTTTTTCAAGCCATACTGGGTATTGTATGACAAAGTGTATTAATAATTTAATGCTAACCTAGCTTTTATCACTCAAGTGAATGCTGTAAAAGGTATGATTTCTCATTTTTCTCATTCTGTGAAATGAACCATATTTAGCCACAAAAGGAGGATTTCAAACAGACTGTAGTTATGAAGTGAATTTAAATTTATGTCAGAAAATCTGTTTCTTATCAGGATCATATGGCAAGGCATAAATACACATGCTAATAAATCATTGCATAAACCGATTGGAGGTCTTTTTGTTATTATGATGTCTGGTTTTTATCGTGGGCAGAATTTTAAGCAGTATTGCAAATGATAAGATTAAACTGTCCTTTTAAATGGTAGTTATTATGCAAAAAATTGCTTTACAAGGGGTTTAAACATCGTTTTGAAGGTAGAGCTGGGAGCTCAATCTCATTTTAATTTAAAGCAACGGTCACCAAATCGGCACAATTTTTATCATAGTCTATAAGGGGCAGTTTCAAAAATTTACGGATAATTATTTGTTGGTTATTTTGAGCTAAAACTTCACATACACACTCTTAGAGAGTTATAATAGGTGTATTTTAAGTAGAACAGACATTTTGTTCAGTGGTTTTCATTTGCTCAAGTATGTATTATTCTCCATAGGGAGGAACGGGATTCCGAATATGCACGCATGATTCAGGAGGAGATCCAGCGGTGTGCTGAGGAGGCTCGAAGGAGGGAAGTTGAGGACGAGGTGAGTAACACTAAATTTCACCTCTTCTGTTTTTCATTTGCACCTCTGAGCTCGTTTGTCTGAGGGATCTAATGGATCAATAGTTAATGAGTCACAGTGGGACTGCATTTTATTGAGCTAGTCTCCTGTAGTTTATAAGCGCTGACTAAGACCACACAGGAATGAGCATCAAACTATTTTAAAGCAAAAAGTCACACACATACTGCGCATGAATCGAATCCAGATGCATTTATCTCCACAACAAGAGGCCAAAGTCTTCTCCATCCGTAAATCACACGCAAAAAGGGTGAGTGTGGAAATGTTGCACTCCAGAAATGAAAGGAAGTCTTTATAGATTTGCAGCTTTTCTTGCTGGGGGTTCGGTATGAAGCATCCTATAAATGTTAGAGCAATTACTTGTGTTGGAGGTGTTATGGTGTTGTTATTTGAAGTTCAGTCCAACCCCTGTTGTGCCCTAGAGCTTAACTTGTGGTTGGTTTAGAGTGGGCTGGCCATGTTGCAATTATGCTGAACATGGTTTAGGGCAGAGGTTTCCAAGCTTTTTCATATGAAGGGACAAAAAAAACTAGACTTGATTGAGGGCGGTGTTCTGAAGAAGGTAAATCTGCCATATGGTGATTTTTCTCATTTATTTAATATATAAAAATAACTAAAACGAATTGTTTTATATTATCTAATGCAGTATATATTTTACATTTTATAATGAACTTATTTTAGTAAAAAAACAAAACAATCCAATTTATAACAGAATGGAGTTAAACTAGTCAAGCTGCTGTTTTTTTTGCCTTGATTTGGACTCCATTATCTTCTGCATTGTCCTTTTTCTGTCCTCTAGTAATGGTTTTTATATATTTTTTAAATAATTATAGTTACAGCTTTTAAACATTTATTTTCAGTCTGCTTTTTTGTAGTTCAAAAATGAAACAAACAAACAAAAAAAGTCATGATCTTTGTGTTAAAGGCATTCATCCCAACCCTCTCCATCATTCTCACTCTCTTCTCATGTGGAATGGAAGGCTAAATCAAAGGTTACAATGGACCAACTTTGGCTCTAGTTTAGACTTTTTTTGGTTTAGTTTTATCTAAATATAATATTTCAAAATGTAATTTTTTTTTAAGCTTTTAAAGTTTAGAAATATTAATTAAGTGTACTCATCCGAAATGTTTTTGTGATTTTTCAATACATCACTTGTAACAGATTGCAGTAAAGCAAACATTTGAAACAAATGCATTTTTAAATTTTTCCTGTTGTGGGTTTTCTTTAAAAGAAACACAATCAGAATGCTGAATATCAAAAAATCTACATGTAAATCTGCAATAATGTTTCCTTTTGCCCAACTGAATATCTACTGTTCTTATTGCAGTACACACAATAGTTAATATTTCTTGGATCAGTAAATGAACCATAAATAATTTCTCATAAACTGTATTTTAAATAATTGTTTATTATTTTATATAGTTTTGGTGTATCAGTACTTCTGCTTCCTGTTTGTTCATGTGTTAAGTGAAGTTTATTTATAAACTAATTTCGAGAGGGGGACGTGATTGATTAATCATAGCTGGTCCCGCATAAACTAACGCATTGTTATTAACTAGAAATATGTCATGTGCCGCTGTGCATAGAGCCCATTGAATCATTATATAATTTTAAAAATTAGGTATGTAATAAGTGCATGACTTATGTTTGTCTCCTACAAACTGACAAATGAGTTAAATAATTGTCTTGATCTAAAACAGAAACTCGCTGTCGCCTCACAGCAAGAAGGTCGCTGGTTCAAGCCTCGGCTCAGTTGGCATATCTGTTTGGAGTTTGCATGTTCTCCCTGTGTTCGCGTGGGTTTCCTCCGGGTGCTCCGGTTTCCCCCCACAGTCCAAAGACATGTGATACAGGTGAATTGGGTAGGCTAAATTGTCAGTTGTGCGTGCGTGCGTGCGTGGGTGGGATGCGTGTGTTTTCCCAGAAATGGGCTGCGGCTGGAAGGGCATCCGCTGCGTAAAAATGTGCTGGATAAGTTGGCGGTTGTGGCAACCCTGGATTAATAAAGTGACTAAGCCGACAAGAAAATTAATGAAGAAAATGGAAACTTCTAACAAGTTGCACAAAGCTTCTTCCCAGGAAAATAATTAGCTTTGTTGAATAGTTCTCATTTTTCAGTGAACCTTTGATTAGGGAATATTTCATTGAGTTGTTTGAAAACAGACGCAAGTGAGAGTCATGAGTTATTCAGCTGGAAATTGTTGACTCTGCAAGGAGAATAACTGAGTCAGAGAGTGGTTTGATACAGACTGTTATCATTAACAGATGATCTCCAAGTCTGAGAGTCATTGTTTTGACTAATTCTGAGCTGACTAAGTTTTTATAGTCCTGTAGGATTCTTCATGACTCATAAATTTATAGTGACACATAATCTGCTCCTGCAGGTATTTTTTATGGTTGTAAAGCAGGTCTTGGCATGCCTGATTCACTGCAGAAACTTTATTTATTTATTTAATTATTTTTTGCCTTGTTTTGTAGTAAGTTTATCTGAATGTCTTTAACCTATTAGCTGTCAGTGATTAAGCAAATCAACAGGTTGCTATTCTTCCTATAGTGCCTGAACAAAATCTTGTTTTTTATAATATTATCTTCAAGTTTATAACAAAGATGGGTTAGAAAATGTGTTTTTTATTATTTGTTATTCTTTTTATTTTGTAGCATTTTTGATAGCAAAATATTTCATGAAGTTTTATGTAAATAAAAGGATTAGCAATATTTACATTTTTTACTTATCCTTTTTTACATGCTCCAAAGCATTCAGAAGTGTGCACAATGGTTCATGTTTATGCCTCTGTTAATCTTATTATAATAAAAATATATACTTTATATATTTTCAGAGATTTTTTGGAAGTTTATCTTACCCTTCAGGTATAATTTTCAAATAAATAAAAAAGTTTATGTTTTGGTATGTTCACTGGAATAATTTGTATAATTTGTGTCCCTTGACAACAAAAGCCTAAGATGCACTTGTATATTTTTGGTCATATTAAAATACATTGTTTGGGTTAAAAAAATGTTAATTTCATGCCAACAATCATTAATCATTAATCATTGTGCAAGAGCTGTATTAAAGGTGAATATTGTGCAAAAGTTATTTAAGGTTAAATCAATCAATGCAACATGATTGTGGTACATCTATAGTAAGCATTATTTTCCTTATTGTGTTATAAGATAGAATTTGGATAAAGTGTCAGGTGCATGAGAGAGAAGAGTGTTTCTACAGGTGTCAAGCCCACTTACCTGTATGAAGCACAATTTGAAATGCACAATGATTCCAAGAGACATGGAGTGATTAAGAAATATTAAGTAAACATGTTACTTAAAGACATTTAATAAATTTCATAAAAATTTGAGATCTCGGCTAAATATTTTCCTTTCCCAACCATACAGCTATGAAAAGCTTTCTTGTTCCGCTTTTATGTGATGTTTAAATCTCAAGTTTAAAAAAAGACAACTATTGTCACATTTGTTTGTTACGTTTACATTTAAAGCAAGGTATATTGTCTGAAAATAGGCTATTACCTAGCAGTGTTTTTGTCTCAAGTTTATCTGTCTTTATTTTAAATTGTCCTTAATCTCATCATTAAATATTATGCTTTTTAAAAAATTAGCCTTATTAAAATATCAGCCTCCAAGTTATTGTTTAATTAATATTTACTAACAGCTTTGAAAAAAGTTTAAATCTGTGAGACATTTTGTCATAAAATGTCATTCCACTGCATTAATTATGCATATTTACACTCCTGCAGCCTGCAAGCCTGTGAAGCACAAGGTTGCATCTAAATATCTCCACACGCTGCCCCTGCTGTCCTATCAGAATCATACAGGAGCAGTGAAGAGCGACGTCTGTTCGCACTCTGCAATTTCTTACTGTTGAGTGCACAAACAATCATGTGGATAGAAGATTTTTTGTATATTGAGTATATTGATTTTTTTTGGGTAGGAGTTTAGGTGGCAGATAAGCTGGAGTCAAACACCATGAGACTGGAGCTGGTCTCTGTGTGAGGCAAAATCTGACTGTGGATTTAATTCTGCTTGTGTTGTGAATTCGGAGAGGTCAATGAAGCAGGCTAATTAGTAGAAAGATACCAGGATTTGATGGTAACCGACATGGGGTTAACCCTGCAAATGTTTTTTGATTTCCACTCAAAGCATTTAGAGCATGTATGGCATTACACAGAATTCAAGTTGCAAATTTTTCATTAAAAGTTTTTTTCAAAATTAAACTGACTTTGCATTTTGCAATATATACATTTATACACGTTATTTCCACTACCTAAAATTGAAAAAGTAAAGACATGCATTCAGGTCTCACAATAAATTCAAATCTTAAAAATGTGCTTTTAAAATACATTGAAAACAGTAATATATTTCTCTCAATTCTTCCACGTTCCGTTTTGCACCCCCTTGTGGCATATGGGTATTAAACTTTAAAGGTATAGTACAGGGGTCGGCAACCCAAAATGTTGAAAGAGCCATATTGGACAAAAACAAACAAAAAACAAATATGTCTGGAGCCCTAAAAAAATGTAAAGCCTTATATAAGCCTTATAATGAAGGAAACACATGCTGTATGTATCTATAGTAGCTATATTAGCCTACTATAAAAATGACTAAGTTGGCTACAAATGCATAATGAGCCTTCATGATTAAAAAGCCACTGAAATCAGGTGGTTGGTTTTTATTTTGTTGTCATTTAAACACTTCAGCACAGCCTCTGGTCTTTCAGTGATATTAATTTGATCATTTCTTCTTGCGGCCCATCAGTGTTCACATACCTGCATAAAAGCGCATTGAATATCGGTCACATCACAGGCAATTGAGTATGCTGGCACTGAATTAATGTCCTTGGTTTGCTGATTGGTGATGTTACCTGCCATTTTAATAGCCCTTTCCTTCACTGTCTTAGCGGAGAGAGGTATCTTTAATTTTTTGTATTATCTTGGTTTTGTTTTTGAAGTCTGCAATTACTGTAGGTGTTCTAATATGTTGATGAATGACTCCTTCATGTAGTCACCATCTGTGAACGGTTTTCCATGCTTTATCATCTCCCGGTTTGTTTACAACAGCCACCTGCCTGGCATCCCGCCCTGCTAATTGAAACCTGTGTCGCAGGCTATAACGCAAATCTTCGTTGACAGAAATTTTAAAAATTAAATATTAATTCTACACACTTTTACAGCATTTGAAAACGTTAAAAATGTTTGTCCTCCTATAGAAATCATATTAAAACAAAAATATATACTAACCTTGCCCATCTTTTTGAACATTTTTGAAAAAACTTCAGGGAGCCACAAGGGCAGCGCTAAAGAGCCGCATGCGGCTCTAGAGCCGCGGGTTGCTGACCCCTGGTATAGTACACCCAAAAATGCGAGCTGTCATTATCTCCTCGCCCTCTACTTGTGTAGTTTCTTTCTTCTGCTGAACACAAAAAAAGCATTTTTTATTAAAAATGTTTGTAATCCTACAGTTGATATTGACCATTGATGTCCATGGTATTTTAAGTTATTAATTTATCTTACTATGTAAGTTGGTTCCAAGTTTTTGGTTCTCGTCTCAAAAAAATTTTACTATTGTGTCTACTGTTACAAAAAAAAAAAAAAAAAAAAACTTGCACAGTTTTGGAAAAAGTAGAGTGATGACAATTCTTATTTTGGGGTGATCCATCTCTAATCTGGCCTATGCAAGAACACATTTAATTATAATACCGAATAAAGTGGATCTAATTGGATTTGCATTGTAAACATTTAATAAAAGTTATTTCATTTATTTTATTTATTTTAAAAGTATTTTTTTATTTTATATATTAAGGTTTTAGTAGAGGGGGAGCTTGAGCTTGAGCTTGAGCTCCACCTTTTTTGCACTTCTTCTACGAGTGATGTCACTGGCTGTAGGGTTAGGGGTGGGGTTGGTGTACGCATTAAAACAGCTTACAGGAGGAGGAGTGAGAGCTCATGCTCCCCCTCGATGGAGCTCAGCTCTGCTCAAATGGCTCTGCAGCGTGCACCCTCTCAAATTATTCAGCATAAATCCACAGATTTTTAACAAAATTCTGCACAGAAATAGCAAAAACTGACCACAGATTCTATCTGCCCTTACATATGGGGCAGAATAAATTATTTCAGTTTCGTTTTTGGGTGAACTACCAATTTAGGAATGGGTTGAATTTTTTTATGGTTCATTTCTGGTTGTTTAACTCATTTATGGATGTTTTTTCCCCAAGACAGCTTTGTCTACTACGTTATCTATCTGTATATTTTTATAGACTGTGCATGAGATACAAATTTCATGCCAGCATATAAAAATCTAAAGGTTCAACCAGGGGCATTGCTAGACCCCATATACTGTGTCAATATGTAGGACCACCTGTGTGTTCCATTAAAGTTTTTGTGGAAATGATCATTTTTATCTGCAGTA